GATGTATACTTTATTATATACAAATCAAAATAAAGAAATGATGTTTACCTACTGGGGAAACCCAAAAAAAAAAAAAATAAAATAAATAATAGAGTACACATAATATTGTTTGTTATTATAGTTGTTAGTAGTAAATTATTTGTTGTTATTGTTATGATTATTGTTGTAATACAAAACTGGTTTAAACTTGTTTGATTTTTGTTTTGATCTTTAAGCAAAATCTGATTGGATGATTGAAGAGCACTGATTATCTGGAGGAAGTAAACTGATTTTAGTTTTTTGAATAAAAAATTTTTAAAGATTAAAGGTGGCACAGCAAATATTACTATGAAAATATTGTATATGAGAATTAATTTAAAACAAACAGTAGATCCATTAACTCTATTTGAGTATATGTTTTGAAAAGTATTTGGTTTAGTGAGTATAATGGTAATGATGTACAGTAAATGGTTTTTATAATAGGATAAGGATAAGGAGGAATGCAAGAGAACCGAACAAAAAAGAATTGCCATGGGTCTTTTCTCATGCAACTAAAGGATAAGCAAGACTTTCAAACTTGAGTAGATTTCGACCAGAGGTCACATCCTATTGTATCAGTTGCCTTGAAGGTTCTTGAGTTCCTGAGTTGAGGCTCACTCGTGATTAAGAAAGTAAACCATTTTTTTTGCTTAAAATTACTATAAAAAAATTTTTTTAACAAAATAGATATGATTAAGAGAGTGTTTTTTTTTATATATTATTGTTATATATTATTGTTTATTATTTTTACATATAATATTTTACTATTTTTTTTAAAAATTTTCAAAATACAGAAGATGAACAAAGGTTTATAAACAACTTTAAAATAAAAAATTAAATTAAATTAATAGAAAATCAAATAAATAAATAATACAGTATATTCAAAATTTTTAAAAAATTATACAATAGTTTTTGAGAAAATTAAATTTAAAAAATTTTTTAAATTTCTTATTTAATGACTATAATATGTAAAAAAAAAAATTGTTTTTTTTAAATATCTAATTATATATATATTTGCTACAAACAAGCATTAAATGCGAGACATTTATTAAACATAAGTTTATTGTTATTACATTAAGAATCCTACACTACCTCATTTGATGGAAATTAATCCTAGCCTATTATATGAAAAAACCTTTAATTCGTGAGAACACCAAGTAGGTGATAACAAACTATTGGTGGTCCATGAATGGCTAATGCCTATTCATAAACAGCTAAGTTAAAGTGGATGAGAATATTTTTTTTAGTAATATAGAAGATTTTCAGGAATTTAAGTCTTGATTTGGTAAGTTTTTGGTAAATCTTTGTGTGATGTTGTTGTTGTTGTCATTCCTAACAGGTTAATACTGGTTTGGTTCTTGTTGAATTAGAGTGTCAGAATTGGATTGGCTGTTGGGATTGTGTAGATCATTTAGAGGGGTTGAGCTGATTTTGGTTTTTGGTTTTGAGAAAATTTTTGATATCATTGAGATGGCGCAGTAAAGCGTACTATGTTATTATTTGAAAGGGTTTGGTTGAGACAAGTAAAAGAACCCAAAACTTTACTTGAATATACTTTTAGGAATAAATTGGTAATGTTGAGGGTAGTGAGGAGAATGGTTATTATGAGAATAATAAAGGAGGTGTATAAAGACAAAGTTAAGAAGAAGGTCTAACACGAGTCTTTTCCCATACAACCAAAAAACAAACAAGACTTCCAAACTTGTTTGGCCTTTGACCAGAGGTCCCATCCCAATGCAACAGTAGTCCTTAAAGTCTGTATGTCCTTGAGCTTATGGCATACTTGGCATATTGAAAAGAGAAAGGAAAGTGCTTCTTTCAAGAAAATTACCATAAAAGGAAATTTTCAAGAAATCAGTGGTGAACGGGTGAGAGTTTTTTTTTTAATTATATATTTTTTTATTATCAATTTATATACTATTGATTTATAGATATTTATATAGTTAATTATATATTTTTTAATATTTTGTAGCTCCTCCTTTAGCTGCAATGCAAGCCATAATATAACATGACATACTCTTGATCAATTATTTGCAATATGTCAGATCGATATTATTTCAATATTTTAAAACACAATTTTTAAGCTTCATTAAATTATTAGATTTTTCTTTATGAATTCAAACTTTAATATAATGCCAGAGGTTTTCAATTGGATTAAGATTGGAACTTTGAGAAAACCAATCCATAATCTGAATATTTTTATTAGCAAAAAATGTCTTCATAATTTTCATAGTATGTAGCCTTACATTATTATGTTAAAATCAAGGGTGATCACTATGATTCTAATTAGTTCTATTGAAAAATATCTTCAATGCATATAACTTGAGCTATGGTTTATGATAGTAGAAAGACATTTAATATTTTACTCTTCATATGAATTATATCAAATTAAGGATCCTAACGATTCTCTTCAATTCTATATTCGATTCTCAAGTTTATATTAAATTTAATAAGTGGGGTATACCCATCATCATTTTTAATAGTGTTCCGAATCTTATATGATTCTGTTCGATTCTATTTGATTCCAATTTTCAGAACCATACATTAAATACAATATTTACTCTCTTGCTTAAATTGAGTAAATATAGATTCATCATTCTAGACTATTTTTTTAAAGTCCTGAATGATCCAATATTTATATACAAGGCACCAGATAAGTCAGTCTTCAATATTTTTTTCTGAAAGAAAGAGCTTGAAATGAATAATATAGCTTCACAATTGTTCTTTATATAGGATTTGACAAATGGTTTTTTTAGATACTTAGATTCCTGTTTTGGTTATAAAAAGATTGATTAGTTTTGTAGCAATAATATATCTATTACTCCTTTTGTCAATAACAAGTTTTTTGAGAATAGTACAAATATGTTTATTAAGAAGTCATGGTTATCTCAATTATTAATATTATTTATTACATTTTTTGTATTCAATATTGGCTATAATATTATAATAGATATTTTTTTTTTTATAACTATAAATTATGATTGCTTTTTGTTCAGAAGTTAATTTTTTATTAATAGGCAAAAGCATTTATGTGAAAATTGAAGTGAAATTTTTAGATAAATAAAAAAAAATTCTATATACTATATATATGATATAGTAGTGGCAAGCATAAAGTCACCATATCACCTAAAGGGTGGTCAAATTTAAGGTACTGTTATACAAGTTTAATTTCATCTAAATTTTTCTAATACTGTTTAACTTTGTTTGTACTTATAACATACTAAATATCACCTGAGAAATCTTTACGAAAGATGAGAAAAAGATGTTTTAGTGATACTTGGAATCTGCTGAGATGAATAATGCATATGGAACATAAGGAAAAATAATAAAATGAATGAATATAGGATGAAAATGTAAGCATGGTTGGGGTTTCTGAGCACTGTTAAGTTTAAGTACTTTAACAAAAATCACATATTGTGAGAGTGCGATTTATTTGTGAAGCATTTGATTTGACTGAGATAAATGTTTTCTCTTTATTAATTACTTATAGTCACCACTCTCTACATGTCTTTCCATTGTAAAGAATAAATAGTAACATTTTATATTTTTTTTACAGAGAAACTTAAAATAAAAGGTATAAGAATTTCTACTTATTTTTAATACTATTATGTAATCTAACACTAATTACATTATTATTATTTCATCTTTAGCACTGGTTTCAGATCTATTTTTATTTTTATTTTTTTTTTATAATCCTGAATTAATTTTAGGTCATGTGACTATAATCATGTTACCCTTCGTTTTACTCTCCCTCTCACAACTCCTACACACCTATCTTATGTATCCCATGCATTAAGATTACAATTAGATATATCCTTTATAGTGTCTCTTTATTAGTGATGATAAGTTATTCTTTGTTTGGTTCAGTGGTTCGATAGTTACCTTTTCTTTTCACTTGTGTTTTACTCCTTGGAATAATAAGTGTGTTATTCTTATGGTATGATAATATGGTGTGGCTATTATAATTTACATCATTAGTGTAATGTCTTCTTTACTCAAAACTTCTTATAGGGTTCCTTTCTCGACTAGGTTATGACAAGTTTTGTCACAGCACATGACGTCTGGTTAAGGTTGTTTAAATTTCAGCTTATACGTGTTAATATAGGTGTAATCTTCTGCAGATATGTTGTTTTGATTTTGTGCATCTTTTTTCATACTTCAAGTGGCCACCATTCCCAAGTTTGGACATTTCTTCACCTCATTCCTCTTATCAAAGATGTCACTTGTGCAAGTTCTTTTCTGATATCACTTCATTTACTCTGTAGGATTATCTATTGGATTAGAGTGTTATAGGTCTTAATGTGATCTGTGATAAACTATTGATGACATTGTTGCAACTTGTCCTGTCATTTCTTTTTTTCCTTGAAATGTTTGTCTCGTTTAGAGCTTAGAATTAATTCATTCTTTTCTTCAAGCTTGTATTTCATCTTAATCTGGTGACTGATAGCTTCAGGGACCATATTTCTGGCATTTGTAATCGTCGTTTCCTCACACGTTTTTGTGCAGTCATAAGCAACTGATATTTCATTATGATTAGTGCATGCTCTTCAATTCTTGCATTATTCCCTTGAACAGCTTTACCAATCTGTTCTTCATAGTCGACTTCTCTTGACAGCTCACGGCATATCTTCTCAACAAGACTTCCTTTTACCTTGTTCTCAGTCAATACATCATTGAATTAGTTTCTCACTTCCTCTTGGTGATACTCTCCCTTTAGTTCTTGCACCAATTCCTTGACTTCTTCCTGTTTGCTCACCATTTTTCTTGTGTTATTGTTTCTTTAGTTCAGCATTCCGATATTCTTGTCTTTTGAAACTTCATTACAGATAGGTTTCCGATTTTCTTCTATATACCAAATACTGATATTTTTTTTTTCTGCCATTTTCCTTAAGTTTTACTAGATGATGTTATCAGTTCTGATGCATATCACAATTTCTACCATTTCTTTGTTTAATCTGGGTTTTGTCAGTACTGGTTATTGAAACTTTATCGTGGTATTTTTTGGTCTTCTTGATTACATTGGTTAGGATTCTTTTTATTAAGAAAAGTATATCATAAGGTTCCTTATTTTGAGTCTTATCAGGAATGGTCGTTGGGATCTTGTCGTGGCATCCTTTGGGCTTTGTGATTTTGTCAGTTGGAGTTTTTTTTAAAGGAAAAGATATGTTACTAGCATTTTCAATTTCCAATGCAGTCTTAACCACTGTGTACATGCTGGTTGTATTTTTAATGATAGGTATACATGTTATGCCTTTTTTTAGACCATTCATGAACAACCCTACTATGTATCTCCTTAGATACTCTTGCTTGGAGTCAACATTTTTTACTAACTCTCGAAATCTATAGGCATAACTTACTACTTTCTTATTCTCTTTTTGTCTTAGGTTTCACAATTCTGTCTTTCACTAGTATCATTGTTCAAGCATCATAAAGTGTTATAGGAAGGTTGGTACAAAGCTTCTTTTGTCATTATATTTATTTCAATAGACGAACTGGTTCTGGTGGTTTTTGTACCATTCCTTGGTGTCCTCTTCCAAGTAGCAGTCTACTTTTCTTAACTTTCTACCATTCGGCCAACTATTGAATTTGGTGGCCTTTATATAATGCTTTAACCATTCACATGGATTTTTTTCAGCTCTTCTTTTGAAGCTATGTAACTTAACCTGGCAGATTCTCTCTTTCCCTTGTTCCTTAATTCTCAGGTCCACCACATTATTGAGGGTATCTGTCAACTTCTATAATAGACTCAACTGCTGGGCAAGTTTAAATATTATGTCTGGATTTATTGTGCTTTTTAAGGATTGTTATGGATGTCTAGGGTTTCAAACGAGTACTGAAATAGTACCAACTTGATATCGACTTATAATAAAGTTAATATATGAGTTGTGACCCACTATATTAAATTTATAGTAAATCCAGTACCAACTTGATACCAAAATGATACTGTTAGGAACCCTATGGGTGTTATACATATATATTTGTTTATTGACTATTTCAGGATATTAGAAGTGTTTCAAGTCTTTAACAGTCGATTTTTCTTGCTGCATCTTCTTTAGGTCAGGTCATTTTTTTTTTGAACTGTTATGTATATATCTAAAAGATAAATAGTAAATAAAATGAATGTAATCATTAGGAAGTCAGATAGTACTGTAAATAAAATTTTAATTACGTAATTTTTTTTTGTAATAAATAGCTTTTTAGTATAGGGTTAAGAATATGCGGGAAAAGGTATTTGTGTAAAAATATTGGAGAGAAGGGGAGGAGTAATGAAGTATCGAATCTTACAGTTACCATTAAATTGTGAAGATGTGGTTTACTTGTGAGGCATTCGATTTGGCCAAGTGAGTATGTTTTCTCTTTATTAACTAATTACTTATAGTTACCATTTTCTATCTGTCTCTCCATTGTAAAAAATAAATGCTAACATTTTATACTTTTTTTATAGAGAAACTTTAAAAACAATTTAGAAATAGAATGAAAGGTAGGGAATTTCTATAAATAAAAAAAAAACTAATTTAAAAGGTTATTAATACTGTTCATAATTTCATAATTAATCATCTTATGTGCTTTGTGAGTTTTCATTGCATATTTTGCAACATGTTCTATAAAACTATAACGATAGACATCCATCCATCAGAAAGATAGTTGTACATATGAACGAATGATTTCAAGAGAGACAGAATCCAAAGCAGCAAGAACAATATTCTGTAATGACTTAAGACTATATTCACAATGTTTACAAATATATTTCTTTATAATATCCCAATACATTTCTATGTAATTAAATTCTGGATGGAACTTAAGATAAAAAATAACCTATATTGGTTGCTTTAATTAGAGACCCATACTGTAAATAAAACAATATAAACATTAAAAAAATACTTTATAATCTTGTAATTCAATAATCTTTTGAATAAGTTTCTTTTCCTCAAGAAAGTCCAGCTGATTGGCTATAAGACAGCGAGTACAATAATAAATGTGATCAGGATCAGACTGCTTCTTTATACATGCTTTATATTTTAAAGGCATTTTCTATGTCCATAATTTACGTTTCTTCAATACCCATTTGATAACTTTGGATTCTTCCATGTGTTTATCTTCTTCTTCTGTTTTTTGTCCCATATTATAAAGTCATATTCAATTATTATTAATTGTCATTGTCTATTAAAGGTTATGTTATATATTAGTGGTGATTTTTCTTCTAGAGTCTTATTTATCTTGTTAGCAACTAATGCATCAGTTGCAAATGCTATATGACTAGTAGCATTATCAAATACAAAAATGCTAATAGTATCAGAGTATGTTCTCTTAAAGATATCTAATGTATGGTAAACTTGAAAAACCAGCTTTTCTTTATTCCAATACCTATTATGATCCGCCTCTAAAACCATAATTTCTCATACTTCACTCTAATTATCTTTGAGGTAACCAATTGTTTCTGTCAAGAATTCACTAACATAAATATCTTAACCAAGTCCTTTCTTTCGAAGGGGTTGTTTATCCTTGGGTACCCAAAAAGCATAAGGCCTATCATAAGCATAGAAAGTATTCTCTTTATATGTTATCCATATATGCTCTTTTTCACCAAAAAATAAATTAAGATAAGTATGGATTCTGTATTTGACATCTTCAAATTTGAATATGAACTTTTTATATTTAAAAACCTGTTCTAAAAAAATATCATGATACTTGATAACATTTTCACATTTATGCCTATCTACATAAACACCTTTTTGATAATGTTTATATCAAAAACCCATTTTGTATATCCAATTATATGCTATGCATATACAAATGGAAACAGGTAAATCAAATTCTAGATTAGGAAGAATCTCCTTTTCAAAATACTTTTTTACCATATATGATATAACAGAATTTTTGCAGACGAAGGAAGCTGATGATGCAAAGAGAGACTAATTCATCAAAGAAAAGGCTTTTTGATGGAAACTTGTTATGCTGATTTGGTGAAATACATTAATTTATATAGATAAAATAATAAATAATTAAATACAGACTAAATATCAAGAAACAATATCCTACCTTTCAAGCATATATTTGCCCATTTACAAATTAATTATGTATGGCTTTTTGCATATCCATTGATTGTAGTGATTGTTAAACTAGCTTCCATGTGCCCAAAATGATTTTCTAAGATCAAACTCAAAAAATAAATAACTAATTGATAACATGTAAGATCATCTTTTGATAAAGACTCCTCTTTAAAAATCCTTTCGATAAAATTAATTGTCTCAAGTATCTTTTTAGCATCAAGCTTTTTGTTATTCTTGCTATTTTCTATACTATCATTATTCATATTTCTATTATTTTCGTCATTACTTTTCACATTTTTATCATCATTGTCATCATTATTATCCACCTGAGAATCGTTTCTAATCTTCGAGAAATATAATATAAAAGGTATCATATTTTTAGCTGCAACTACTTTTACCTTATGTTTTCGTTGCTAGTTTCTAATTAAATTTCCAGTATATTGTAAAACTCTTTTTTGATTATGATGAATCTAGGCACCTTCAAACAGTTTCTAAAAAAGGTCTTCTGCATTATTGTTATTTCTAAACTCTTTGATATTAAAATATAAAATCTCCTCTATACTGCTGTCATTTTCAAACTTCTTGATATCAAAATCTAGAATATTTTCATTTCTTAAGCCTTCTGAAGAGAATGAAGAAAGATCTATGGTTGTTACTTGTTCAACAATTGCTACAGATAAATGCCTATGGCCTTTTAAATTCTGTTGTTGAGTTAGTATATGTTTAAATGATTTTGTCATTAAAACAATTTACTTTTTTATCAATCATCATGTAATCGATAAAAAAATCATTCGTTATACTATATATTACATAATACAACTAAAAAAAAGTGACTAAATTTAAAGATTAAAACTAAAAGCATTCAAACTTTGAGAAATTATATTATAACAAGAAAGTGAAAATTAAAAAATTGATTTTTTACAAAATGTTTCCAGTTCATTTCTTTACAAATCTATAGAGTTATTTTTCTTGTATCACTTTTTTGGTTATACTTATAATCATTTTTGGAAACCTTTTTAGATCAGTGACTTTATGCTTGCTGCTACTATATATTTTTATAAATTGAATATGTTACACTTATATATTAAGTATATTTTTATCAAAAAAATTTAATTAGTTTTTAAATTAAATTTTATTTTTAAAAAAAAAAGTTGTCCATAAACTTTTATCCACCCTCTGTATCTATATAGTTTTGAAAGATATAATAAATTTGAAGTATTATAACTTAAAAATCCAATTTACAAGTTTTTTTATAGTTTTAAATAATTATTTGCAAAAGAATTAAAAAATTATTTTTTGTTAAAATTTCAAAAGTTCAATTGTAATAATAATATTTTAAGTAGTTTAATTTTTTCTTTTATAGATAAGTTGTATTTTTCTTTAGATTTTTTTTTTAAAAAAGAATTAGATCTATAACAATAAAACTTTAAATTCTTGTAATTTTTTTTAATAAAATTATTATCTCTTGTTTTTTTTATATATACAGTATATATATATATATATATTTGAAATTCAATTTTTATATATTGTTATCTTTTAATTTCAATATCAGGACAAAGTTATAAAATTTTGATGAAACAATAATATTTAATTATTTATATTAATTAATTAAATTTTATTTTTTTGAAGGAACAGATAATTTTTATATATTATTTTTGTTATAGTTTTAGATTTACAATTATAAGATTTATAATTATAACATAATATT